ACACACACACACACACACACACACACACACACACACAGAGAGACAGAGAGAGAGAGAGAGAGAGAGAGAGAGAGAGAGAGAGAATAAATGAATGCATGAATGAATAAAAATGAATTCTGAAATGGGTGAATGATCCAAAAATTCTGTCAGTTTATGAAAAGTAGCCTTACACTTTTATGCACTCATTAATTTTAGGCATTCAGCCAACCTTTCCAAATTCCAAGTTGTCCCCAAGATCTAAATGTATCAATGCTTCAGAATTAAGTGCAGATTATCTTTCAAAATCATGTTTTGATTTTTGTTTCCAAGAGTTCACAGATAGTGCCCAGAGAGTTTAACGGTATGCATTAGGATACTGACAAGCTTCTGCCCTTTTTATAGCTTTACCATGGTACCTCAGTTCATGAACTTACTTTGGTCCATGAGTTTGGAAAAGGTGGCCATGTTTGTGTGGGAAAGATGGCCATGGTCATGTTTGCCATTCAATCCAGAATTTGCAAACAAAACCAAAATTCTGCCAAATGCTCCTGTTTGAAAATGAAATTGTTTGCCAACAAAAGTATTTGTGAACTGAGTTGCCACTGTAATTTCTAAACATAAGAATAAAAAGGATAAAAACCACCTCATTACATAGTCTATTCCCTATACAGTTTAGAGCAGAGGATGTCATACTGGATTATCTGTTCTAAATGCCTATTTCCAGGAGCCACGTAACAAATTATGTATTTCAAGTCTAAAGTGTCCTTCAGTAAAACACTTGGCCAATAAGACAGAAGAAATATAAAGTACTAAAATCTGCAAGAGGACCAAGTACTGCAGATGTATGGAAATCATTTCATTTTGTAAAATTACATTATTAAAATAGCCAAGTGCAGTGGCATATGCCTGTAATCCCAGCATCTGGGAGGCTGAGGCAGGAGGATTGCCGTGAGTTCAAGGCCAGACTGAAGTGCAGTGAGAGCCTGTTTCTTAAATAAATAAACAGTTAATACACCTCACTGTACACCAACTACAGCTACTTAACTATAGCTATCAAGAAAATAATCTATTTTTCTACATTGAAATGTCTACATGGTTTTTCTTTCACTCATACCAAAATAAAAAAAGAAAAGAAAAAAGTATAGGTGAGAACATTTACAAAGGAAGCAATTTTTCCCTTTCTATTACACACACACAGACACACACACACACACCACGTGCAGAATGAATTCACAAAGCAGGTCTAACTGCTTAGTAGACTGGCTCTTGACTGGTGCCTAGGAGTTCCAGTTTGGGGAGGATCCCCTCCCCTCCATTCCTACAAGGATGGGCTCACTCTGCCTCAAATGTTTATAAAAACAACATGCATTATGCACTTTGATTTACCCATGCCTTTGAAGTCTAGAATCTTGATTCTGCTAAACAGCAGATGCCTATGTGAGCAGTCCCAATAAAATTGCCACCCCGTCAGTCTCTAAATGAGCTTCTTAGCAACACTTTATTCATTGCTGTGAGGCCTCACTGGGGAAAACCCCTGGACACCTAGGCCTAGTTCCCCCCACACTCTGTCTCATGCATACTTTGCCTTTACGGCGTATGCTTGGAATTCTTCACCGCAAGTAATCAAGGCTATGAGTGTGACAATAAACTGAGTCTTACAGTCATAGGTCTTGGAGACCTTCTACATAACACGTATAACAGGACAAATAACAGCTCATTCTCATACTGACTTTGAAGTAGGATATATACATTTATACAATTCAATATTCATAACCTTTGTTATAATTATTTTGTGGTTATAAACTTTGGGCTACAAACATTATATCACGGTATAATTTTTGAGTTTTTTATTTCAGTACTTAAAAAACTTTTAAATAATGAATTCTGCATGTTTATTTATAAAAGATTATTAAAATAATTCCTACATAAATTCAAGAAAAAAGGATTACGTGTATGGTCAGTGTTTTCTCCCAGAATTAAAGGCAGCGTTCTTGTGCTTGTGCAAGAAAGGCAGCATTTGGTGAACCCGCCCCCATCTGCACCAGTTCGCCAGCGCTTACCTGGGTACACTCCTGCTTCAATAACCCCCTCTTTGGTACTGTCAAAGCCACGAGCTGTAATTTGAGTTTCTGAGAGACCAAGTCCAGATGGCAATGAACGCTTCAAATCCTTAGTAACATTTGAATAAAAGAAAAAAGTTTTGTAAAGAAATCGCACAATGTGTAAGTACAGAACAACTGTGTCCCTTTATTCCTCTCTTACTGTCTTACTCTCTTCCGTGCAGCACTACCTTATGCTGGCACGGCTTTCTCAAATGACACATAAGCAGCAGCAAACACAGGCAGACTTGCTAGTAACAGGTACAGTGGATGTCAAGCACAATGCATGTCAATATTCTGGAGGTAGGCAGCAGGTACATATCAAAATTCTACTTAAAACTTTAAGATACCAGTGTGTTATATCAAAGATTATTTTAAGGAAGAAACAGAATTAAGACCACTAAAATCCCATATCTAATATTTAGACTTATAACCATAAGTCTAGCCAGTAAGTCAATATAAATACATCATTCACTTGCAATGTTAATTTCCCTTCAATTTCAAGATTAGGTAAAGTGGGTTTCTCTGACTTCAATCAGAGTGAATAAAGGAAATTTTCCTTGCTCACATATATATTGCTACTAGAGATAAACTGCTACTAGCTTAAGTACAGATTAGCTTATAATAGAACTTTAACTGTAATAAAAGTAACACTCAACCTCAAATCTTACAGCTTAAAAGGAACAAAAAGACAAGAAGCACAGTGTCTTCTACGAGGCACAAACCAAAGTTAAACATACTTCAAAATACTTTGTCCAGAACCTTGGAAATTAAATGTTGGAGCTTATAATGACTGGGCAAACAGGCTAGCAAAACAACCTAAAATGACCGAAAATCAAAGTGCATGCCTCAATTTGTTACCTGAAAGGGAGAAAAGTATATTAATAACAGACTAAAAAGTGGCACGTCTACCAGAACTTGAGCACCAAAGAAATTTAACTCAAGTGAAAATATTAAATCTAATTACATTCCTTTTCTATTTACCTTTATTGAATTTTCACAGGAATTTCAGTCATGAAAAATTATAATACAACTAATGATAAAGCTAGCTATAATTATATATATTTTTAACAACCCATCACATCTCTTAATACAATGGCAGAGCGCCTATAGCAGGTGCACAGCATAAGTAACAATTTATAGTGTAGCTAAGAATTCAGGAGTTAGGGATATAGCTCGGTGATTACAGGTAATTCCCTCTCTCCCCAAAAAAAGAATTCAGAAAAGGGAATGATCAATATGTATTAGACAGAAGGAAGTCTTACCAAGGTGGACGATACAGAATTTTGATGAGATGGGATGAGGGTGAGGAAGGATGCATTTTCAATCTAACAGAAAAACCTGTGGGGAGCAGCAGGAGGCTCCACGGCCATTATCCTGTTACCAAATACCAAGGGGGCCTTCAACCAGGTTCCTCTAGCTAGTACAAGCTGAGCTCTATGCTGAACAATGGGGGAAATGAACTAGGAGGATAAATGACTACAGTAGAAAATTTGACCTTGATTGAAAAAGAAAGTTGTATGCTTTTGAATAGCAGGCTTATTTGACTTGGTGAAAGGATGACTTTAAGAATATTAATTTAGGCCAGGTGTTGTAGCAAGTGCCTGTAATCCCAGTCCTAGAGAAGCTGAGGATCGCTGTAAATTTGAGGCTAGTCTAGACTACATAGTAAGTTCAAGGCTAGCCTGAACTACATAGCAAGACCCTGCCTCAAAAATAAAAGAAAATAGCAGCAGAGGTGGGGGGAGGGAGCAGGAGAGAGAGAACTAATTTAGGATACATGTCAAAAGTTTTAAAAAAGAGAAAACGAAGGCAAGAGCACACATTCTAGCTCACTTATTTTAACAATAGTCTAAGATCAGAAAGGTAGCCAAGAGAATGATGAGAAAAGATAAAACTCATAGTCCAGGCATGGTGGCATTGGGGAGGCTGAAAACAGGAGGATCACCACGAGTCTGATCTGCGTAGTGAGACCCTGTACAAATACACAAATTTTAAAAACAAAAAATGTTTTAAAAAGATAAAATTCAGGAATATATTAAAGTGGCTGGGGATGTAGCTCAGTGGCATAAGTGCCTGCTTGGCAAGCACAAGGTCCTGAGTTTGATCCCCTGTATCGAAGAAAAAAAAAAAAAAAAAAAAAAAAGGAGTAAGTTAAAATACAAATTCTTAATGAAAATTTAGGATATAATTACGAATTAAGTATAATAATAAAATGAAATAGCTAAGACAATATATCCAAGAGACAGAAAAGGCCCATCCAGAAGTTAATTTTCATGAACTTCAATCAATATATGGAAAGGTTATTTAAATTGCTGGTCAAGATTTTATTTGAAACAACAATGTCTATTCTGCTACTAAAATTAAAATTCTGTAGGACAAATACAGTGCCAATCTGCCAATTTATACGAAGTGGCAGAAATACAATAAAAATGACTAAGTTTATTATCCCTATCCTTCTGGGGAAAAGCATATGTTATAGGCGAAAATAGATACCCAGTCTGAGAATGGAAACAATCCACTTTCTGAAGATGGACAGAATTTCTGTAAGTAAGGTGACTCAGTACAGCCTGACGCTTTTCCCTGCTGTGAGATCAGTTTGGAGAAGCCCCGGGGATCTGCAGGAATCGGGTGTTCAGGGCTAGAGCCTGCTGAATCTCTGTCACTAAGTTCCTTAGCCTAACCACAAATATTTAGAGGGGGAGTACATGATTTCAAGGTGAATACATAGGAATTAAAATAATTCCCATCTGGGGATGTCTCTGAGCTTTAATATTGCTTAAAACTACTTAGCTATTTTACTAAAGTATTTTAATAACTTAAATATTTAAAGTCAATCTGGTTTAGTTAAATTGAAAATGATTTCTAAGCTTTCCTAAGAATAGAAAACTAACACCCATATAATGACCTCCCTCTGTCTTTTAAGCATTTCTAGTATGTGTAAGATCTGAAATCTACCTTTTCATATATAATTACATATATTAATTTTAAAAGTACCTTTGTTAAGTTTTGGGTATTTTTTTCAACCTCTTCAACCTTAAATCTCCAACTTTTATCTTGATTTCCCTTTTTTAGCTAGACATGTTTCTGTCCAGTTACTAAGTGACTTATTGCAAGTAGGATAAATGAAGGGGACTGTATCTGGGAATGGCTCCTTAATTCTATCATTCCCAGTATTGGGATTTTGTCATACTAGTGTCTTCACAGGTAGTAAGGGGTATAGCACGCAATTTGTTACTAACAGTAGTTGAAAGTTAAATTTTTATCTACTTCAGTTTGTTTAAATTGAGTAGGTCCAAGAGGATCTACAACTCCTTCAACTGCACTGCAATCTACTTTCTGGACTGAGAGACTCAAGGAAGAGTACCAGAGGGCAGAACAGATGGTTCCGCTCTTGGGTATCAGTGGGGGACTGGCTCTGACCCTGAATACAGCCACCAGTAATCCCTGCCAAGGCAGGGTGATGCCATGTTCCAGTGTCCGCCCTGCTCAGACCCGCTATGCCCGAGTCTCAGTCCTGGCTCAGTCACTTCAGGGCTGCATGAGCCCAGGAAGGTCTCTAGATGCTGAGTGTCTTTACTGTACACAGGGATGGCTAAAGGACAAGATTCCTCTCCTAACAACTAGAGGAGTATAGTGGACAACACCATGTACTCCAAATATTAATATCCTTCCCCTTTACTAATGTATAGACAACTTTTTTGGAGATCCAAAGATATTACAACAATAAAAAGATTTTGTTTTTAAAACTGGGTATTAAATTTTCGTATCATTTGAAATGGGTAATTTTATCTTCTGAGTGACAAATACAGCAAACTGCACACCAAAGTCATTAGTGCACCTCCTCGCTACCCCAGAAGCACTCCCATGCTTAGCACCACACTCGGAGCCACATGCATTACATTCAGACACGTCTACATCAAAAACAACCACATAACTAACTTCTGATAGCCACCAACACTAAGTAGAGCAACACCCAGAGGCCCCGAGTTTGAGAGATCTGAGATTTAAAATGGAGACATTAGCTGGGTGCTCACTGTGTAGCTGGAGTCCTCGTACCCACACAGGAGAATGAGGAGACCAAGAGCTCACGGCCAACCTGGAAATAGAGCAAGACCCTACCTCAAAGCAAATAAAAGTAACACAATAGAGCAAAATGTACAGCTTGGTATGCAAGATGATGATTTAGCAGAAACTGTCAGTATGGACAAAGAGAGAAAAATGTAGGAGATACACTTTCAAGGGAATGTAATGAGTTTGATACCAAAAGAACTAAATGGAAAAAAGAATAATAGGGAGGAAAAGGTCAGTTGGGAGATCATAAATTTTATTAAAAATCAATTCAGAGTAAAATGGACATTTCATAAATAAAAAGAAATTGAAAGACAGACTGGTGTTTTAGTCATTTATATGCTGTTGAAAATCTTTTTTTTTTTTTTTTAAATCTTAAAAGACCAGAAACTAGTGCATTCCTAGAGGCCTCTCTACATTCACTACCTCAGGCTGCTAAAAATTCAAGATCCAAAGCTTACCTATTATATATCAAATGCAACACAAAAATCTTTCTTTCAAAGAGATAAACAAGTCTCTTACAGGAAAAGAAAAACACTGTCTTAAACAAGTTTCATGAAACCTTGTATTTTCCATTAAAATCAGCACTTCCCCCTGTGGTGTGGATGTGAGGTATTATCCAATTTTCATGATCTGTCTATGAATAGGTACTCCTGATTTTCTACAATGACAAAGTAGTGATAAAATAAGAGATATTTCTGTCTGTGAAATTCTTTCCTAACCTACCTCTCCACATATAGCATACAGTTAAAATTTTACAACTCAGAACATTCCACCACTTGAAGTCTTGCAATTTGCAAAGTTCAACCTCGCAGATACAGTCACCACCGATCAGTGTTGAGAGGCGTTTTCTGGAGAGGCTCACTAATTTTGTTCACATGGTTACTCAATTTGGATGGGCTCTGAGTTACTCACTAATGAGATCTTAGTTAAGGTCAGCAAAGACCTCACCAATCCAGTTCTGACCTCAGCTAGCATATCAACATCATTTGATATAAG